TCTAGCTATGATGTCAATTACAGGCCTCTCTCATCTTTTTAAGTGGGAGATCTTGCACCATTGGTGGCTGACTAAATACTTTTTTGCCCCACTGTATCATTATGTTCTATTACTTGTGTTTCTGTTATGTTGAATTCTAGTATGACATGGTCACTAAGTTCCCTGCAGTTTCAACTCCCTCTATCACTTCTCTGTTTGTAAGACTTAAGTCCAAGATGGCTGTCCCTCTAGTTCCCTCCTCTACCTTTTGGATGATAAAGTTGTCAGCTAGGTTGGTTAGGAATCTATTTGATTTCTCACTTGGTGCAGAATTAGTTTTCCAATTGATATCAGGGTAATTGAAGTCCCCCATTGCTATAGTAGTGTGTTTCCTGCATATGTTTGTTAGTTGGTTGGCAAAAAGGATATCTATTTTTTCTGCTTGATTGAGTGGCCTATAGTATACACGTATGGCCATGTCATTCTTTTTTCCTTTGATGTTGATCCATATGCATTCTAAGAGGTTTTGTCTTTGGTTTCATGCAATTCTGTAGCAATGTAGTGGTCCTTTACATACAGTGCATCTCCACCTCCTTTTTTATGGGGTCTGGGCATTTGTGAAGATTTTGTATCCTTCTATCAGTATGTTCCAGTCGTGAGTTTCCTCCCACCAAGTTTCTGTTATTCCAACTATGTCGTATCTACTTTGTGTATTAATAGTTCAAGATCATCCTGTTTGTTCCCCAGACTTTGTGCATTTGCATATAGACACCTGAGTTCTTTATGTCTGACTCTGGGTATGCTTCCTATGTCTCCTATTTGGTGTTTGAGTTTGTCGTTCTTCCCATCCCTCCTTACTTTGTTATTTGCCTTGCTTTCTAAGGTTTTTTTTTTTTTTTTTGGCTTGGACTTAGGTCCTGGAGATCCTAAAGACTGGTCTCCCTCCCCCATCAATTTTAGTTTAAAGCCCTCTTGATAAGTTGAGTCAGTGAGGTGCAACCCATCCCTGTCCAAAAGCCCATCTTGGAGGTAGTGCAGACCATGGTCTAGGAATCCAAAAATTTTCTGGCGACAGCAACGTTTTAGCCAGCAGTTCACTTCTAGAATTTTTTGTTCTCTTACCTAATGTCATTTCGTTGGCAGTACAGATGAAAAAACTACTTGTGTACCTAAGTTCTTGACTTTCTTGCCTAGCTGTTCGTAATCCCTCAATATTGTTTTCAAGTCCTTTTTTGTGTCATTCATGCGTACATGTAGTAGTAGAAAGGGGTAGTAGTCTGTCAGTTTTATTATTTTAGTTAGGTTCTCAGCGACATCTTTGATTTTAGCTCCAGGGAGACAACATACCTCTCTGGATATTTGTGTCAAAATGCATTGAATACCAAATTTCATGAGTTTCAAACCAGTTGAGTACCAAGGTACCACTGTATTAAGGAAGGGGTACTGGAGGTTGCAAGGTGTCATCTTCCTTCTAGTTTTGTAAAGAGGTCTCTGGGACAAGTAAGGGTAAATTAGATTTGGGGGAAAAGCTTCATGAAAGGAATATAATAATTTTGTAACTTCTGGCCTATATTTGAGCCTGTATGTGCAGGAATTTCCTACTGCTTGATAAATAGTTCAAGGGCTCCAAGTTGAGAAAGGTTGATTCAGCAGCTACAGTGGGAAAAGAAAAGGTAAGGCTGCTGCAAAGAAGCTGCAGATGACTGATCCCAAATACCCAAAACAAAACACCTCTTCAAAATTATTTCAAAAAGACTTTCAAGTCCTATTTTCTGTTGGATTTTTGTAAAATTTGTCTTAAATGCTGAAATAATTCTGTGTATCTAAATGAATATTAGAATATAGAAATCTATGGATGTTCCAGTTTTCCTTGCTTTAGCCAGTTATCAGTTCTGATTCTAACTGCTTATAAATTGATCTCACGTTTGTGGTGTCACTTCCATTAAGCTGTATTAGATTTTTAAACATGTTGTGCTGTTAACTACACAGAATTGTAAAATACAAATCAAATAAATAAGGGAATGCCTATTTTAATATCATCATCCACCAAGTCAATAATTTAAAAATACAGATTCCTGCTATATCAGAATTGATTGTTGTGAACTGAAATAACTGCCTCTCATTACTTTTGAATTGCTTGGCATTACATAGGCTCTACATAAACTTCTGGAGGACTCACATTATTATTTGTTCTTATAAGTGAGGCAAGAAAACATTTGTCCAGTCGTGATAAAATTGTTAAGATAATTGTACTTTTATATTCACTTTATAGAAAGTTGCCTTTGGAAAATAAGCAATAATTATTTTTGAAGAAAAAGTTCAAAGGTAGTCTCTGAACCGATTATCAATCAGAATTTTCAATAACGGTTTGGCAAAACATTTTGCAAGAATTTCCCCTTCATACTCATTCAATTAATAAAATCCAGCAAATAAGTCAAAATTCTGCAAAATTGTGTAATATATAGACTAGATAGTTAAATATGACTTATCTTTCTTTATTCTGATACAATAGGATATCCAAAATGCTTAATAATCCTGTGGACATAGGATTAAAGCCAGCATCAGGGCTAAAATCTCCTATGCTCAGAATTTTAAAGCATGATAACATGGAGAACGAAGCTGCTTGTGTAAACAGAAATAGCCTGTTAACTAGTAAACAGCTAGCAGAAATCAAATCTACATCTATACAAAAAGAGGTACGTTTAGTATTGATGAATATGGTATCTTACTTTTAGCCTGTCATCATATATTTGATTTATCATAAACTGTTTATTTCTGCTCTATTAACTATTTAAATGTACTTTTCATATTCTTTTGTGTATTTTCTCTGAAGTCCCATTAAAATTAATAGGATTTATTCCTAGAAAAGAATAAATAATTTGCAGTTTAATTAATCGACCTACAACCCCTTTCTCCAAAATCTAGTATCTTCTAGTAAATTTGCTGCTTGCAAGCTCCTTCTCTATATTAACTGACAGCCAATGGGAGTCTGAACTTCAGTCAACATTCAGGAGGGAAAGTTTGGCATGTAGGCATAATCCAATACACAAATGCTCCCTCTACTGGATAAGTAAACCCTTCATTTTTTTTTGAGAAGTAGACGTAGAAACCTGGGAAAGCTGCATGCTGCGATTGTGAGAAGGAGCAAGCTACTATTGATCTCCAATATCTGATTAAAATAAATTACCAAGGAAGTGGCATTTTCAGTTAGCAGAGTCTATAGTACTGTGGAAAAACAGCACAGATTTTATGCTTATAATACTCTATTTTGCTATAATTTACCTAGAGACTTTTGAATTGGAGAGAGAGACTATAAAAATGATAAAATAAACTTGAAATGCCAAGTTTGTTTTACCATATTTGAGATTGGCAAGTGTATATTAAATTTATGTGGAATATTTTTGTAGTCTGTTATTACATTTTAATATTGCACAAAAGAGATTGTACCATTTGTAGTGAACCAGTGCCAGGTTGTGGCCAACTATTATATATTACTTAATTAGGGCATCTCTATAATTCATTTTTTGTAGTTTGGCATGTTGATATTTAAAAATTAAAGTGTTTTTTAACCTCTCCTCTTTTTAATAAGCTTTGATTTTTTAGAAACCTTGTGAGTTATGTTATCTCTTAAAGGGGAAAAGGGGGTTCAAACCCCTAGTTATATGTCTATACTCGATAGGTTCAGGAGATTATAACGTAGCAATTATTTCATTATTTTCGCCACATTTTTTCAGGAGGACAGCATGATATATCTTTCTCATGGGCTGGGGATAGCGGGAAAATGTCAGGTGAAAGCTATTGAAGAAATTGCTATCCAGTCGTTAGACTAAATAATGCATGTTTATAAATATACATTGATTTCTAGTAATTGCAGAGATATTTTTCTGCATGATACATTTATCTTGATCCATTATTGGTTTTCTTAATTTAAATATTAGTAAATAAGGGTGTATGCAAAAATAAAGGTAAACGGGAGGAGGGTTAGGGTTAGGGTTGCAATGAGCTTGGTCAGCCAAAATACTAATTACTTCACAACTTTTTTTAAAAAATTAAATTTTTATTTAGGGAATTTATATTGCTGCCTATTTGCACATGGAGACTTAAGGAGGCTTACAGAATATAAAACCTCAAAAAAAAACTAAAACTAATAAAAGAAGTGTCATATAATAAATTACTGTATTTTTCGGAGTATAAGATGCACCAGAGTATAAGATGCACCAAGGTTTTGAAGAGGCAAATTTAAAAAAAAGTAGGTAGATAGATAGAGGGATAGAGAGGGAGAGAAAGAGAGAGAAATACAGTAGGTAGGTAAGGAGAGAGACAGAGTAGGTAGGTAGGTAGATAAAGGGATAGAGAGAGAGAGAGAGAGAAATAGAGTAGGTAGGTAGGGAGAGATAGAGGGTAGCTAGGTAGGTAGATAAAGGGAGAGAGAGAGAGAGAGAGAGAGAGAGAAATACAGTAGGTAGGTAGGAAGAGAGAGAGTAAGTAGGGAGGCAGGTAGATAAAGGAATATATATATACATATATATACATACATACATACATGCATACATACAGTAGGTAGGTAGGTAGGTAAAGGGAGAGAGAGAGAGAGA